CCCATGCGCAAACAAAATGATCTGTATAACCATCCCTCATTGCAAATATGGTGATGAAATGATGCCTCTTTGCTACGGCAAGCCTGCAAGGCCTTCAAAAAGGCGGGGGGGAGGGGGGGGGGGGCGTAGCCCCCCCGCACTTCCAAACAACAAGGATAAAGATGATAAAGATGATGGAAACTACTGACAGGTGACAAAGACTATGAAAACCCATGAAGAGTATGGAAATTTTGCAGAAGGATGGAGAAGGATTAAAAAAATATGAAATCATATGAAAGTGATGAACAATCATGAAAGTGATTGAAAATTTTGCATATGATGAAAAATGTAGCAACTGCTGAAAGATCATGAAAAATGTTGAAGATGATGAAACATTATGACACATGATGGAAAACGGCAGGTACTAAGCAAAAAGGAAAAAAAGCAAGAAGCAACAAAAAAACATCGCAGATAGCAGCGATCGGGCTGCTGAGTGCAGTCAACGAGAAACAGGAAGCTAGAAGTAGAAAGCAATGAAGATCGCAGGCAGCAGGAAACAGGAAGCAACAAGCTGACAGCAAAAGTAAGAAGCATAAAAGAGAAAGCACAAAGCAGCCTGCAAGAAACAAGGAGCAACAGGCAGAAAGCAACAAGCAAAAAACAAAAGCAGAAGGCAACGAGCCAGAAACGAAAAGCAGAAAGCACCAAGCAGAAAGCAAGAAGCACAAAGCAAAAACAATAAGCAGAAACGCAATAAACAAAAAAGAGAAAATCCTTGAAAAATAGGCATCCCTTCTCACTTGATGTTGTCTTTAGTCTGAGGGCACCTAACAAGGGCCCGTCCATGATTGTTGAGAACATCTCATCTAGGGCAAGGTTCAGAACTTGATTTGAAGTCAGACCTACACCTTGTACTGCCCTGAACACCTAAACCCTAACCCGATACCCTGGAGCCTCGTCTCAGCTTTGTGTTCTGAGGGTTTCCGCTTCAGAGGCAAGACTGCAGTGATCTATGTCGGATTTCAAGTTGCATGCTGCACGGTTACTGTAGGGTTCTTGGTTGTAGGGTCAAGCTTCAGTGGTCAAGGGCACAGAATTGTAGGATCTGGGTTTGTGCACTGAACTAAAGGGTATAGGGTTTTTGGTTGTAGTGTTTCAGGTTTTGGGCAAGCCCTGATTATGAACTAGGCTTTCGGGAAAAAAACAGGTCTTGCCACCGCAGTGTGTTCGGCCATATGATTCCTGTAGGACATGTAGAACCTCAAGCTAGACCCCATCCAACCCAAAGAACCCTCAACCCTAAACTGTACTGGACAGAATAAACCCTGGACCTAACATCCCACGCCCTCGGACAGACCTGAAAACCTTCACGAAAGCCCGCGACCAGGCCTCGTCTGCTGAGCCGTCGTATCTGCGGAGCTCCTCTGCGGTCCAAGGAGCCTTCGCCCGTGGAAACTTAGGGGTTTGGAGGTTTATGGGCTTCTTCGGCAGCTTCATATTTGGGATTTAATTTGATCCCCAAACATCCCCCAAGGGAGGCTACTCTCCAACATACGTACCTAGAACCGCTGACAACTTCCCATGAAACTGCAGGCACCCTGAAATGAACTGCAGCAGGCCTTGCGTGGTGCCAAGTAAGCCTTTTTCCGCCGCTCCTCCAACCTGGCATTAGTAAAGGATGATAGTGGGCGATAGCACTCGTTTTCATATGTTTGGAGTCACCTTTGGAAAGCATCCGGCTGTCTGGGAAATTGTGGCCGCAACGCCCCGTAGTAAACTAGGGAATGGATTTGCAACAGCAATTCTGGACAACTCCTGTGGCTTTGCGACCTCCAGGAAGCTGACACGGCAGTCACCACACGTTGCTTGGGATTAAGGATGGCGGCTTGTTGCGTCAGAGCTGGAAAGCAAGGTGCAAGGCTTGCGATCGGAGCACGCTCGTGTGTGCTCAGGGAGCTTAGAGGCTTGCTAAGATCTCCACCAACCGATTCAGGGTAGTCTTCGGTACAGCGCCTGAGGGTCTCGGATCAAGCGGTTCGCAGCCTGTATTGCTGAAGACCGCACAACCCTTTGTGCAATGGCCCTGCAGGGAAGGGGGTTAAGGGGAGTTGTCAAAAAGCGCAAGGCATATCGCAAAGCTGCATGGACTCATTATCAAGGTGGTACCCCAGTCCTCCCTGCGGGACTTCACACAGACTTTGCAGCTGCGAATGGGAGTTGATCTTGCAGATCGCAAGGCTGAGATTCGTTTCTTGGCAGAGCTTTAAATAGAAATCTTGATGAGCAATCGCTGTGACAGCGGTATGTCTTTAGCAGCAGCATCACCAGGTGGACAGTACGGTTTGCTGGCGTGGGACATGGGAGCTGTTGGCTGGCATTAACGGCTGGTGGCATGATAGCCGTGCAAGGAAGACCTACGTTGAGCTGAAATGCTGGAGAATGCATTCCATGTGCCAGGGAAAGACAACTCAAAAAGGTGGGGAGGCTAAAGAGGCCATCCGAGTACATCAGTTGGTAAGTGTGTACCCTAAACATATATGGCGGCGTTTAATGTGAAAAGTCACGTATTCGGGTGCGTACCTTTTGGGTTGTCCTGCAGTCTGAGGTGTAAGGTGCCTCACTTGTCTGTAGTTGTCTGCGCGAGCTGTTGTTGCTAGTAGGAAGGATGTTGTGAAGCTTTCTTTTGGTAATGCTTGCTAGGAAGCTGTGCTGAAGCTGTTGGAAGCCGTAGGATTTTGCTAATGTAGGAGTGGTAGAATTTGAGTAGGAGAAGGTACCACTTTGCTGCTTGCGTGTTTCTGAAGTCCACAGACAGTTTTTGGCAGAGCTGACGTGTTTCGAGTTGGTAGGAAGTGTTTCCCGGCGTTTTGGAGAGCATGTTTCACGAGAGTGTTTTGCTTTGAGTTTTTGCTGCGCAGGTGTACTGCTTTGTCAGTCTTTTGTCCGGAGCTCTGAAAGATCTCATGAAGAGACTTGAGTACTCTTCAGGAGTACGAGCTGTCCCTCTACATGCTGCATTCAGACTGGAGATGCTTGCTGGGAGTTGTTCTGCCTCGAGCTGGCTTCCAGCCGGACTTTTGCTTTCGGACAGATGGGGATGGCCCCTTGGATACCCGTTTTTAAGATTGGTATTGGTATTGGTGAACATGCGCCCGTTGTGTGAAGGTTATTTCTGCATTAAGAGCCTGCAGTCGCGCATGATAGTCGCCTAGCAACATACTGCCGGCTTACCGTCTGCCAATGCTGAGTGATAACGCTGTTCTACTCCGCTACCTACAAAGATCCAGACTGCTTGCCTCCAGATTCTTAACGATCTCTATGGCCCCTAATTCCAAGTGTTCCATTTACAGTATCACGGGCAAAATATGGTAATGTGGAGTGCCCTACACATCCCCAGGCGGTCCTCGCCAGTCGTTTCCGTTCGAACTCCTCCTGAGACATGAGCAGGATCCAACAGGCCCTGTAGCCCTGAACACTAGCTTCCAGAGACGTCTTGAATCAAAACCCTCCAGCAACAGAAACAAGCCTTAAAGGCCATGAAATCCGGAACGTCCGAAGACTTGGCAAATATTCTCAAACTCCCATCATACCAACAACTTCTGAATAACCTCCTCGCTCTTGACACTCCTAGCCTTGCGCAAGGCCATTACGCAGCTTCAAACCTCTGTTTCCCCCTGCAGTGCCAACTGTGATCCCTCCACTCGCCTCTGTGCCTCTAGCCCCAAAACACACAACCCCAAAAAACTCCCACAAAGCCAGGAACCTTTACCACTCAAACTTAAAACCCCCCAGCGCTGAAGTGGTCCCGACTTACCTACGACAATGCAGAATCTTGGTTTTGGAACTTGTAGAACAAGAATTGTTCAGGAGGGCGCCACGCTAAACACTAAGAGCCCCAAACCATATGCCCCAATCAAGAAACCCTAACTTCTTTGATAGCCCCAAGATAAGAGATCCCACAAGCATCTCGCCGTGTATCCCCGTTTAGCCGCATTTGGCGGGACCTTCCAGAGTGCTTGGGGTATTCACGTACGCATCATTCTGAAAACCCCAAGATTAACTAAGGTGCAACTATGTACGGGGCGTCCTCCTCTTTGCTCGGACCTCCCCGACTCGTGGCAAAGGCTGCAGCGGCTGCCAGCGCCAGAGCCACGGGCAGCGCCTATCGTTGGTTAGGCTCTGGCTTTCGGGGTCTGGGACTTAGAGTGTAGGATTGAGGGTGTAGGCTTTGAGGAATATAGGTGTATTCCTTTTGGGGGGCTGGGCTGTCACGGTGAACCCCTGATGGCAAGCCTTATGTGCGGCAACAAGGGGAATGGCTGGGAACGTGGGAATTTGCGAGGATCCCTGAGCCTGAACCGTGCAGGGAGTGCTCTCACCCCGCGGCTCTTGTCCACTGCTTAGGGCTTAGGGTTCGAGTTTTGGGATTTAAGTTTTCGGGCTCATGGAAAGCGAGGTCAAGGGCTACGGCAGTTCATCATAAGCACAGGAAACATGGCAGACACTAGCTTAGCGCATTCCTGGTGGTGCTAGTGGCTGTGGAAGTAGTCGTGGCAAGAGTGGCGGGAACTGGCAGCGGCAGCATCAGCAGATAATTTGTCCGCATTTCATGGGCCCAAGCAGGAGGAACTCATATTTTAACCCTAGCTCCTCAACTCTTTCTTACCCTGATGCTTAAAACATCTGTATATCCCATGGACTCCCGAAAGGAACCTCGGATTGCAAAACTTCTGAGGACTATGGCATGCTCGAAACCGTGAACCCCAAATCATTAACGCCAAAACTTGGCCAACACTGACAACTGAGATCCTAAGCCCTCATCCCACAACATACACCCGAAAATTGAAACCCTACACCCAAGCAAAAACTAAGCTGCTCCGTGCTCACCTCCTCCCAGGCCCTTCGTGCCACAGCTGCCACAGCGCGCGGCCGTGCAAGGGGCGGACGGAGGCACCCAGCAGGGGAGCCTGTCATTTGGGGTCTAGGCTGTAGGGGTCCCGGTCTAGGATTCAGGCAGGGTCTATGTCAAGAATCAGTTGGGTGTCAGATGGGGGGTTTAAGGGGTTGAGGATGTAAGGTTGAGAGTTGAGGGTTTGGGGTTGAGGATTTAGGGTAGCACTGGACTGGTGCGGCACAAGAAGGTGGAGGTCTGGGATATGATGAATACGCTCTGCGTTCCAGAACTGCAGAGTTTCTCTGTAATCAAGCACAGCTCTAAGGCGTAAAGAAGCACGACCAGCAGAAACAGGGCAGCGTCATTGCAGGTGAAAGGGCGGTTTAGTACTTGGAGCCTCCGCCATCCTCCGCCCTCAGCCGAGAACCTTGCACCCCGAACACTGAACAAACAGCCCCGAACCCCAGACTGCCCATCCAATGCTACACCCTAGACCAGCAAACTTATAACCTGTATCGCAGAACCAACACATTTCCATCAAACAAACACTAGACTGATGTACAAGGAAAAAGTAGGGGTGGATGTCAGACATGCGGGTTCAGGCTTTAGGCTTTTCACAGAGGCGTCGCGATTCCGCGGAGGTGGTCGTCGACTAGGATGGCTTGATGTTTGATTGGTAGGATGCCTCCTGAGGTTTGGTTGATGGGGTGATGTGAATGGGATGTCATGGGTTGTTGTATCGAATGGAATGTCTGATGGCATGATGTGAGGTTTTCGTGACGTAAGCTCCGATGTGAGGTTTGCGTATGGCTTCCGTGAGTCGTGAGGTGGTGGCTCAAAAAGAACTGAATTAGCATGTTTTACGCAGGGCTGGCAGGAGCCGCCACTTCGTTTCAAAATTGCACTCCTGCGCCGCGATCGACAACCATCGCCGTGTTCGTGGCGCATCCTGACGTAGAAGCGTGCAGCACCAGGACAATTTTGCTCGTGATCGTCAACCCCTCAGTGTCTCCTGCGTATCGTGATTCCAGCGGAACATCCTCCGAGTTTTGCTTGGAATCATCAACCCTTTCAGTGTTTGCCTCAGACCCCCTACCCTAAATCCAGAAACTGGCGACCCTCCCTCAAGCCTCCCAAGACTTGACGACCCAGGCCGGCAAGCCCAATCGACGTCGGCACAGCTGCGATCATCGCAGCTGCACCAAAGTGAAAGGAAGTGCTTTTTTGTCAGAATTGCTGGTCAACGTGTAGGGACATTACTCTTCATAAATGACCATGTCCTTTGCACGGGTGCAGCCTGTAGCTGCCACGTGAATACTGTGACAGAAGGCTCCTGTGGCTTAGGTGAAGTGAGCTTCCCGGTTGGTGTCTTGTATGGACTACTCTCAGACGCTCCTGGCAGTTGAGATCAGCTGAGTAACTAGAACTGCGTATTTGAAGTTTGGTATACCAATGCTCTGAAAGGATTATGGCATGAGGAAGATGCCCAGCAGTGCATATTGGCTCAGGTGTCTACATTCAAGGTATTTCAAGGTGATGACCCGTGAGGCCAGTCCAGCGTCGCTGCTTCTTGCAAAGGATCGAGCATCGTCCATCCAAGCAAGGGGTGTGCGGGCATACGTCTGACATGGGTATTTCTCAACACGGGATAGCCCTGTGTTCAACTGGGGACCCTTGATTTTGAGAAAACCCATGTAGAGTGGATGCAGTACCCAAAACCATCAAAAACCCTTCTATAAGCAGCTTGGAAGAGGACAATTATTTCAGGCAAAAAGGCAGTACATCACGCAGAGCTGAGCGCTGTGAGTACTCAGCCACGCCCTTTTTCGCAGACGCACTGGCCGATCCAAGATCAACTGTCGTCAGAGGCACTCTTTTTCTTCTTCTCCTTCTTTTCTTTCCTTTGCAAGCATGTCATTCAGGCTAACTGTAACCGGAAGGAGACCACAGCACTTCTCATCTCGGATGCCCTCAGGATCCCGGAAAGGGAACGCGCATGTTTCACTCGTAAGGCTGGGAGGGTCATTCATCATCTCTCTCTCTCTCTCTTCCTCTCTAGCACAGACACCCGCCTCCTAGCCTTTGTCGAGGGCTCTCAGGTCCGAGTGCATTCCCCGAGTTAGGAGACTTCCTGCCAGCTGCAGCCAAGCAACTTGCCTTTCTTTTCCTTGCCTTTGTTCTCCTTGTTTTTGGAGTCCTGGCTGGCGGCCATGGCAATAAGGCATAGGACGGGATCGTAGACTTCCATTCTGGGGATCATCACGGGGGTTTCTCACAACTATGGGTTCCTTTTGCGCCTTGGTTTTGCATGGTCACGGGTTGAGACTTCGGGGATGTAGAAACCCAAGACACTATAAGCTGGGTGCATGATAGTTACACACCAGTCCTGGAGAGGTTGTCGCGTGGGGTCAGTACCGGCGGCTTTCTGCTGCACGGGTTGAACGGTTCAGGTGTTGGGGCTCAGCAATATGCGCGAGTCAAGGGCGCATTTTTTTGGTGTCCAGGTCAACAAAGTAGCCGAGAAGTTGCCGAGTCCTGAAAGCCTCCTGCCCAGCACTGATTACAAAACAGTAGCTGCTGCGGCTTCAGACTTCAGACAGCTTTCACAAAATCCACCTCAAATGTATATTCAGGATGCGGCAAAAGCTCTCTCTACCGTCCACAAATCTCTTGGGTGCCCGCATTTTGAAAAACCCTCCAAATAATCTCCTTCTGCTCTGACAGCTGCTTTAGCTGCTCGAGCTTCTTCCTGGGGTTGCAGAAGCCATGCTACACCGGGTCCAGGGCTCAGGGCTTGGGGGTTAAGAGCCCAGGGCCTACGATTCAGAGCCTTGGGCGTGGGATCATAAAGCATGTTAGGATTCCGAAGTTCATGGCTTCAGGGGCTGTGAATTGTGAGTCTAACAGTTCTGTGCTGAATCCAGAAAAAAAGACATGCTAATCAAATACCAGGCTCTTCTGCTTTTCAAGCTTCTTCTTGACCTTCTTTGCCTTCTTGGTCATCTGCGCTGAATCACCTAGACGGAGCTGGTACGATTCGACGCTTGAAATCTAGGAATGTAGCTTTTGCTTGCAGATCGCTATGTCAAGGAGCTGTTAATCCAAGCCGTTGGACTTCCTGAGCCCAAAAACAAAGGCAAACGCTGTAGGAGCCTAAAGTATGCTAACCTATAAGTCACAGAGAGTGTTCCAAAAGGGGTATTTCACTGAGTGATCATCCTTGCCTAAGCCACAATAGTTACTACTTGGCCAACACACAATCCTGTCCGTACTTATCCCCTGATATTGCTTGATCTCTCTGGCCGCGATCCCTCCAGCATGCCTGTGAGCCTGGCAACCCGAACCCCAAAACTAACATGGAACTGAATGTCGAAAGGAATACTAGTTACTAGTCCTTGTGGGGCCCTTTCGGGTTCCCTGTTGCGAGTAGGAACAAAATCTATGTAGGCCCCACGAATCACCTGCAACGACGGTGATTCTTGGGCTGTAGGGCGCAAGGTGCTGGCAAGGGGAACTTTTCCTATTATGTTACATGTCACAAAATTAAAAAAAACTGAGGAGATTTCTTGAAATAAGAATCCTTGTTGAGCAACTTGGGCTTAATACGGGGTCCCATGTTTTGTGGGACACGCCGTAGAATCTGAGTGGGGATACATTAGGGAAGGCCTCAAACGGTTGTCGTGGGTAGATTTGGGAAGCTCATTGAGGATACCCGTCCCACATCGCAGAGCTCCCCGATGTTGAACATCCACTCCGTCGACTCAGGGTTTCCAAAGCCCAGATCTCTGTCTCACAGACTTTGAAAAGACTCAGACGCTTCCCGCAACTAGGGTTTTTTTAAGGACCTAGCAATGCGAGAACAACTCCTATTTAGTCCAAACCCATTTGTCAACAACCGATCAGACCTATCATCCTTAAAGAAATCAGAAGGAGCGTCCTCGGGAACTGAGAAAAGGCAAGGATCCCCAAATACGGGACCTATCGTGCTGAGAACCTCCTAGACCCACAGCTCATCCCTCACAACCTCGGATATCGGCGGTGTAAGCCTGTGAAGGGACTCCTAAAAGAGGCACAACCACCTTAGGAAGCTCCCTATCTCTGAAATTAAACGCCATTACTTAAGCCCTCACCCAATGAGAGAAGTTTCCAAGAATGGCTGCTGAGCGACTTTCATCCGAGGATTCAACTTGCATTCTCTTCAGTGCTTCTTCCTTCTCCTGGGGTGTCCGTGACTTACCGGGAATCACGTGAAGTAGGTTTTATGATTAGTCCTTTACCTTATTGCCCCGCACCTTATGCAGTCAGGGCAACGAACCAGGGATTCGGTAAGGATCTGATGTTTTTCCCTCGGGCTCTGCGATAGTCACCCCTGTTGCGTGTGGCAAGATCCAAAGCAAAAGCTGAAAATGCGTCTAAGAGACCCACCTGAATCGGAAAGGGCCGACAGAACGCCTCCTCACTTGAAGCAACCCTACCACGCTCACAACCCTATGATTCTCTTTTGTCCAATAGGGCAGGGGGTACTCTGTCCATAACAGTTCTGAAGAACCTGTGTTACCATAATTCTTGGGGCCACATAAACCGCAAGTCCTACACCCTGCTGTAGTCTATTCTCAGGACTATGGCATCTGCAATCTCGCGTAGGAATTGCCCGCTACATTTCTGGCCACAGCAAAAAAAAGTACAGAAATCACAATACACACTACAAGACCCAAGCGCCAGACCCTAGGCCCTAGGCCCTAAACCTCAACCTTACCCCTTCACTCCAAGCCCTAAACCTCCAATCTGAATTCCAAAGTTCCCAAGCACGGAACTGAACCCTGACACCTGACCGCCTAAATCTTGAACCCAAGGCCTTTAAACCATAAACCCTTAGCCCTCCCTGGCCTCGGCTTCGTCCCTCCACTGAAAGTCCGAGCCAAAGCCGCCGCTGGCAGCGGTGATGGCGGCCGCGGCACCCTGCAGGAAGCAAAAAGGATGTACACTTTCATGTTTCCAATTTGGGTATAGAATATGGGGTTAGGGATTCTGGGTTCAGGATTTCAGGCTTGGGCCTTAGGATTCAGGAGTGGAACTTTGGTGGTTGGCTTTATGATCTTCTGTCTGGGCTTTGAATGTTTCGCAATGCCTCTTCTCAGATTGTACTGACTAAGATGTTGTGCATCAGTCCAGTGGCAGCCCTTGAGCTTTGAGTTCTGGGCCAGGGTCTAAGTTTGTTGCGTTGAGATTGCCCTTCCTATCTTGAGATTATCCTACGGTGCTCGAAAAGGGTAGGATGGTGCAGATGACGATTCTGACAGTATGAGGGCTGCAGGGATTTGTAGGAACCCATTGTGACTTGTAGTTCGGGGTTAAGGATCCTACGCATGGAACAAGACAGAAGATGTCTTGTCTGAAAGCACAGTAACATCTTTGTCATCCCTGCTCTCACATTCCTACGACGCATCTGCTTGACGAGATCCAAGCAAGGTCTCTGTTTCACGCTACGGAATCCATACTTGGTGGATGCGGCCTAGACGGCCCGAAGCTTCCACACCGCCCCCTAGCAGTGGTTCAACTCCCGCCTGGATGTGCTTCAGCTGCTGCTTGGGAAACACCTCATGCATGTTCCAAACTCACAAACTCGAACATGAAGGCTTCTCAACACAAACGTCGCCCGGACCCGGAACCATAAGATCGTTAGGGGACGCAAAGTCTTTGAGAAACTCCAAGATTCAGATGAGAACGGCCTTTGGAATTCAAGATTGGCGGGGACGCAGCAAACACCCAGGAGAATTTCAAACATCACCACATGGCTCTGCTTCTCATCCTCCAGGTGAAACCCGTGCCTGACATGTTCCTATACCATGATCACAGAGTTAGGTGCCCACAAAAACTGGATCGCCACCTAACTCAAACGTTGCAGAATCCTCAAAGATAGCTTGCAGGCCTTCATGTGAAGCAACTTACTCGAGTGAACTTTATAGGATGAGTCCGAGTGGCTCCAGCGTGAAAGTCAGAAAATAGTCCAAGCAAATCCCTACAACCCACGCAGCCTCTTTTTGCAGCAGTTGAACCCCAACTGCGACTGCCGTTCCTGATCCCAACCCCTTACCCCCACCCCACTAAACCAACCGACCCTCGGCGTTTGCGGCCAGCGCGGCCCAGCCGACGTCCGCAGGCACACGGCCGCGACCGTTGAAGGGATCCAGATCACGGCCGTCCTGGCAGACGACGGGGATGAGGGGGTGCTGGGGGTCAGGGTTCAGGGCTTGGGTTGGAACAAGTCAGCTACAGGGTTAAAGGATAACCGTCCGCAGAAGGAGACTACGATAAAAGTTGGGTGACGTTCGGCAATTTCTGACATGAGGTACTGTTGGGATCATGGGGTAACCGGCGGTGGCTTCTCAGATGTTTTTAGGGACTTCTCATTTTATGATTTATGTCAGGGTGCACATGAAAATGTACTGGTGCTAGAAATGCTCAGGAGAAGGGAGCATAAGGTGCCTGCTTGCAAATTGTTCGGAAGGTTTGTCTCAGGGCTTGCAGGTTGGGATTTGGGTTCCAGCTTCCGGCCGGGCTGCGGTGCTACTCCCGAAAGTGCGGCGCTTCTGTTCTTTCAGGACTTTATAGTTTGTAGCATGGATGGCTTCGCGAAGCCACTTGGCTGTCTTGGCTCCGTCTGGCAAAGAATGAAAACATCAACACACAAGCTAAAACACTGTCAGCAAACACGGCTTCAAGACACGACTTCCGATGCTATGGGACACTTCTTGAGAAGGTAGGGATCTCTGCCTTAACAACGTCTCCTGTCTCAATCCTCAGAGAGCTGATCCCGCAACTCTTGGAACATCAACAGCCCCACACAATTCTTTCAACAAGTCATGTGCTCATCGGATCCTAAGAAAGATGACGTTGGTGCTGTAATCACCTTGTAACCCCATGACACCTTAATATGTCTCATGTTCCCATAAACCCTATGCAGTGGAGGCTTCTCTGAGCAGCAGCTTAACACACACAGGCTCCTCTTGGTGGACAAACCTTTCAACGAGCAGGCAGATGGTTTAAGCGCGGTTTGGCGGGGTCTGCACTCCGGCATTTAAAGCCCAGAGAATCCCTTCCCCTTCCTCAGGTCTTAACCCAACTCCTGAAATGGTGCATCAGCATCATACCAAGTTGTTGTCATTTTGAACTTTCAAGGTTTTGTTCGATGGGTTTGGGCTTGGATTCGAGGTGAGGATACGCACCTATCCAATAAAGTCGGATGCTGCAGGCAAGAGCTTCATCAATAGAGAAAGAGGGACTGCAGGAAGTTGCTTTGCTCCCTTGCATTCTGAAGTTCCGGAAGGCATCCATGGGGAATTGCTCAATCATCCACTTGCCGAACGACAAACCTCAGACATCCCTTTGTGGCTGACTGCTGCTTGGAAGCCGCATATCAAGGGCATACTTGCCGCTGTCTTCCTTGCAAGCCAATGAATGCTCATGTGCTGGTCAAGCTCTGGAACTGAGGTTGGGCAGCTTGGCGTTTTATGATTTGAGGAAGTCATCTTGGATTTCCTGGCCTTGCTGCTATTTCTACAAGGAATCTTTGTGTCAAAGCTCTTCTAGACCAGGAGTTGTGCTAGCTGGCAAATTAGAACAGGTGGAGATCTGAATTGGAGCACGTACGGGTTCTGTTGTCCTCCTGATGGGACGAAAGTCGATGGCAACTACAAAAGCGTACTGCGCAATGAGCAACGCTGGAATAACCTACCCTACCAGAGAGTCCAAAAGCCCGCGAGTCAGGAGGATACCTTCAACTCTGATCAGGTTGCTCATGCAGTATGATGTGAGGAACATTCAGGCCCTGCGGCCTTTAACCTAAGCCCCCGAACCCTAAACATCTAAAACAATCCCAAGGAAGGTGTAGGAGTCAAGTGGCATCCACGTCCCGGACCTTGACCTGGCTTGACTCGACAATCCATCTAGTCTCTATATATTTAGCATGAGCTGCAGATGTGGGGATGTGGGGCGATAAGGGTATAGGATTTGGGGACTTCTGATGATGGTGGCAAGCTGGCTAGAAGTCAAGCTGTTAGGCTTGTCAAGTCATCCGCCGTAACACAAAGACTTGCGGTTTATAGTACCTTTGGAACTACTTTTATGCTGGGGCATCCTAGCTTTTTTGCCCAAGTGGTGTCCCTCCAGATAAGCTTGCCAGCTAGAGGAGCACGGTTGGGGCCATGCATGTTGGAGCCATGCAGGTGCCTAAACCATACTGGCTATACCCAAAACAAATGCATGTAAATGGCAGACGCATACTGCACGAACCCGATGAGCATCGGATGCATCCTTGTAACACACACCCTGACCTGGACTTGGAGTCTAGGGTTTGAGGGTTGGAGCTTATAGGGCTGACAGCAGTCAAGTTGCCCAGACTTTGTCACCTTCCCGGACGACAGAGTTCACCTAAGATCGAAGGCACACGTCTCAGATGAACACTAGAGGATAGATCAAGAGCCTGTGAAGAATCCTCCTTTGAGGAGATCAAAGGAACTAGGGATCTGCGGATCCTCAGTGTCGTGGGTTCCTCAAACCAGAAGACAACACAATGCGACTGCCTAAACACAAATGCTTGAACCAAGCTCCCCGCGACCGACATCCCAACACCTTCATCTTGAGCCCCAGCGGCCACTTCAAGTCTCTCCACGCCCGGTGGGGCCGGCAGACAACCGATGTGGAGGAAGCCATCCTTGTACTTCTCACCTTTGCCTCAAGGATGATTTTGAAAAGCAGGGTTCCTCTCTGACAAAAGTTAGGAAGGGTACTGCAATCAGTGGGCTCATAATCTTGAATGAAGTCAGATCTAGGGATTCGATTCTTGAGAAATTTCCAGGATGCTCTTGCAAAGCCATCTAAGAGTACTAGTCAACAGAGCTTTAGGGTGGAGGGTTGAAGGTTTTTGGCGTTTGGCTTGGGATTCAGGATGTAGTTTCCAGGCTTCGGAGCTTCGGTCGTGGGTTTGGCATTCTGAAGCGTGGGATGCAGGGAGCCCGGAACCGAAATGGAGAAAACATCTCGAAACTTGAATAGGAACTGGAAGCGTTTAACAGCTCTCGAGCCTTCCGAGGGTCAAGTGATTTGGGGCTTCAGGTTATGGGCTCAGCGTCAGGGCAAGTTTGCTGATGTTGACAAGCCGCCAAGCTGGACGAAAGCTCCGTACTCCTGGCGCATCAGGTACGAGCAGGATCACGTTCAGTCCCCTCAAATATTTCTTCTAATGGGCAAACTTCCGATGATGCAGGGAAGGAACTCTAGAAATGATCCCAAGGCACAAAATAGATCATGGCTCTACTTGCACCAGCCACTAGATGACCTCATGACAAACAGGACGATCGTGTGGGTCAAGTGTTGCAGGGAGCAAGGTTGGCATCATTTCTCAAAAAGGTGGCTTGGGCGTCCCTGCTGCGGCACAACGATAGGATCTGCTTTGTACAAAGCTTGGGTTGCAGTGAAGGGGTCGCCTGCATTCCTCCACATACATGCCGGGCTGCTGACACTTCCACGAAGACCTAATGTAAGGCGCTGATCAGCACTCTCTTCCTGAGGATTGCCTAATGGTAGATTCCTTTAAGAGCCCTACAAACCAACAAACACCCAAACCGAGCCATGTTGTGAGATCCGCCTGAGGGAGACTACGGATGAAGCTCCACAAACCTCTAGCTACCTGAACAAAGCCTTTCTTTCCATCCCGCCACTACTTCATGCAACATGGTTGCATGAGTATACGTCTACGTTGTCATAAGGGCGATGAGCTTTGGATGCAATAGAACCCCCCCACCTTTGTGCACACCACAATGCCGCGGTGGATGGAATTCTCGCGTGGGAGAGCCGTGCCTGGCACAATGATCTTTGGCTTCGGGTCACACTGCTGATGATCACCCACTTGGGGTGCCCAGAGCAGAGGGACCTTGTTTCGGGCCGCATGAACTAAACATCCGGACTTTTCGTCAGGCGGCACGTCCACGTTTTTGAGACCACACCAATCCCATGCAAAAAGGTTGCAGACCTGTAGAGCCCCTTCCACAGCTCAGTCCTGCCTGTGTTGGAACCCTAACACTTTTGAAAGCGCAGGCTCAAGCCCCCGGAATCCCGGCTTGTTTCCTCATGTTACTTCAAGAAAAATCATTCTACCAACATGGGCCGTCTGTAGGGATTGCAGCGCTCAACCTGAATTTCAGTAGTACAAGCTCCTGACATTTTGCAGCCCTTAGAAACTTGAACAGTATCCCAGGAACTTACGAAGGATTGTATGGAAACTTCGTCAAGTCTCCGGTTGTATGTATCATTCTCATAAGAATGGTGATGCCGATGACGACCCTCCAAGGTCGGCTGCCTAGATAACCTGAAAACTGTGCTGGTGTTTCCTAAATTCCAGCTCTTGCTTCTCTAGTGCCGCTCGAAGCTCAGCAGAAGCACAGTTACGAAATTACGTAATTATCTTGGCATCATACCGACACTGGTAGCAAACACTGTAGGAACTGTAATCACAGGAACAGCAATGTGGACAAAACGAACCTGATAATAATAACTACTCAAGACATGGATAGCCAGAAGATATTAGCACTAAGCAGTGAGCAGCACAAAGAGTGATGGTGTCACTGAAAGTAAACATGAAAAGTATCACGAATAATGATACATCCCAGCCATGACCAAGCTACAAGAGTTCAAAGTTAGCGCCCCAAAGAGGACAAAAACGCTAGTAACGATACAACGTTCATAACACGGTTCATGGAGGAGATCTTACGCCACTGATGGCCTTGAACTCATAGACTCTAATTCCTGGGATAGGGGGATAAAAGCTGCTTTTATCCTGCCTGTGGTCCGCTTTCTCGCAAGTCCGCTGCTCTTCCTTTGGCCAAAACTTGAAAGCTTCTAGGCCGGAAGAAGGGCGGGGTTGGGGTTCAGGGATTTAGAGGAAGGCTTCTCATTCGACGTTTAGGGCGAAGGTTATAGGTGGAAGGACTTGGGCCTTTCCGAGGCAGTTCAAGATGACTGTCGGCATGGGTCTTGCGAATCAATTTTCTTCCCCCCACTCCGCTCGTCCGCCTCCTCCTGCTGCCTGCCTCAACCCTTGTGCTGCCCGTCCCTCCTCCTACCTTTCCTTCACTAACCCAAACTCATAAATCAATTTCACAACATAATCTACCAGCGTTTTAGGCAAAAAGGCAATTGTGAAATACGGATACCAAAACCCTACATTGGACATTATCATGTAGTGTCAGTTCTCAGAACATCTGGAACTTGTCTGCAGACGAGGCAGCTGGAACTGCGATCCATCACCGTAGTCGCGGTAGGAGCCGGCCTGCCAATCCATTCCAACGCCCTGAACCGTAAATACTGCAATGTTGGCTGACAGACGGGAGGACTGATATTTTGTTGAAAGACTACTTCTTTACGGGTATTGGCCCAATGCAGACCCTTTCCACATGCTCCACATAGATCCGGGAGGCAACTTGAGATCTCTAAAGAGACAAAGAGTTCAAGGTGCTGGGTGTATTCTCGGTACTACCCGATTGTCTTCTTGCCAACCAACAGCACATGCCCACTGTGGCCTTCTGGTTGTGGCCAGTGTCTGGCTTCGAGATCCGAAATTGGCCGGCCACGAACCCGATCATGGGGTCTATGTACAGAGGCAGGCAAGCATGGGGATCTGACACCAGTCCTGGATTGAATTTGCTATAGAATCAACAGGTAAGGAGACATGGGCTGCAGGGCGGGCTGCTCAGTGGAGAAGACTAAGCTGGCTACAGCATGCCTTGCAGGACTGCACACCGTCTGCGCTCGTGGCACACTGCCATGGAGGTATCATACCATCTAGGGCTACCAGCTCGAAGGAGGATCTTGCTTCCTCGAGGCGCAGCGGCTGCCCTCTGCTCATGAGCCAACGCAACATTTCTTGGATATCATCTTGGCATTGCTGCACAGGCGTGGAAGGTTCTAAACACTTACTTTCAGCAAGCTGTTAAAGTGAAGGAGGTACCAGAGAACCTGAGGGAGCTAGGTGTTTACGGCTCTTGAACAAATTCCCCTGTAAGAGCCTTGTAAAAACTTGCAGCCATCCACCTGCAAGTGCCAGCCTGCAGTCTTGCCTCCTCGCTACAGCCACAATATCAAAACGCAAGCTGACAACCTGACCGAAAAATATAGTACATTGGCCAAATAGCACTGTCCCTATTGAGGGATCTGAAGGAGATTTCCCTGAGTACGGCCTTACACCCAGTGAAAATCAAGGCATCCTGATGGGGGGGATTTGATGGTTGGGGATTAGGGGTTGGGGGATTTGGCTTGTACCAGCCTAACATGGTTATGGAGTCCCCTTAGTTTGAGGTCTTTGTAGGCCTTTCTGTTGACTCCTACATCTTCGCTATTTGTTATGTTTCTTTGCGGGATCGAGGAACCGACTGTGACCTGTATCCACAGAACTTAGATGAGGTGGGCTTCTATACAAGGAGGTGCAATTGTTTCTTCACCCTAAATTCTGTAGATACATGTATATGCTCACAAATAAAATTGTACACAGAGGTATTTGTATACATATAGGCTAAACCTAAATCCCTCAAACTCCTAAACTCTCAACCCCCTCAAAAACTAACCTCAAACACCCAACCTTCAACCCAGAAACCAAACGCCAAATTACATCTCCACTTTTCGGCACACTTTTGCTCTTGCCAGCAGCTTTAACCTCGGAGGCACAGCAACTCCAAAAATTCAAAAGTCAATAATAATGTAGGGGCCTGAATGCTGAGAAACGGCTTGGGGCTTTCATTGTTGAATCAAACTACAAAGTATGTAATACACATATATATATACTGGCTACAAGGGGATAATAGTACCCATCAGTCAAGCTTTAACACTATCAACCATTCTGTTCTGTTTGTGATATGATCATCGCTTGTATTAGGAATCTTAATGCCCGACTTGTCACAGTTCTCTTTTCCTTCTTGTACCTCCCTGTGGGGAGTGTACGAATCCTTCAGGCAAGACAAAACTGTTTCCTGAAGGTTTCGCGTCGCATTGTGCAAAGATAGAGTTACTGTGTTTCCGTCGAACCTTCAGATCAATCTGCAATTCTGAAAAAAAATCATATCTTGCCGTCCTATTCACTATGCTTTGGGAAATGTTGGATGCCTACTGCTTGGCTTCGCGAGCTTGTGACAGCCCAAAACTCCAACAGCCTTCTCCTCCCGCCAGGTGCAATACTCCCTTCTTGTCTTCAGACGAGTTGCAAGATATGTCAATGTCTCATGCACTCTTTCACTCAACCAAGCTCTTGTTCGAGAGAGCCCAGTTTAAGCAAACTTGATATGGGCCGTGTCCAGAGCAGATTTGCCCCCTTCATGTACAGCGCTTCCCTTCCAAGGCACCTAGCAAAGGGGGCAATCTATCAAAATCGGAACAAACCGGACCATCAAAGCTAGCGATTCTCCTGCAATCTGTCCAACGAAAAGGAAGAGCTGTGAAAACAACGCCACCGAAGCATGAAACACTGAAACACACATCCTGTCCGAAAACCTCTTCTTGTTCTCACTTGCACCCAGAACGGTCCCGTACCCTTGAGAACTCTTGCTGTCGTATGCATATGGCCCGAAACGCTTGGAGTGCAGCGCGTCAAACAACACCTGCTGCCACCGAGGCATGTGAAACGCAAACTAATACCTCCACAACGAGCATCTGCCAAAATGCTGAGAGTTTTGAGTGGCTGGTTGCAGCATTCAGGGGCGAGGCGTAATGTTTTAGTGGGAGACGACTGCTGGTGACTCTCAGCTCAACAGCGTTGAAGGGTCTTCGACGGTGAGAGTGAGTTGTGCAGCTTTGTGACATTTACCTGCCCTGAGTCGCGGGTTGTTCAGGCTTTGTGTTGCCCATGCGGGTTCACGGCCAACAGGAGACAGAACTTCTTTTCCAAGCCGCCAGCTATAGCAAACAATGAAACCCACCCAGAGATTCCGCAGCCCTGAGGTTCTAAACTTCAGAGCTTACCTGGAAAGCCGGTAGCTCATGGGTGCAGTCCATTTCGCCCATATTTCTTACTACTGCGCCAAGACTTGATCATCATTCCGGGTAGGTTTCTCCGGGAAAACCTTAATCAAACGCTGACCTTCAAATCGCCCTCCCTCAATTCTTGCAGGGTCGGGTCTCTGGGCTCCCTGAACTCGAAGCCTTCTTTGGCA